TCTGCATTGGACACATTTTTAAAAATTCCCACTATTGGGACCAGTGGCTCATATTTATCAGGAACATTGAGACACTGATTTAGGCAGGCAATGGCGCTTGTGGTCACTGATGCTTTATATACTATGCCTTAGACCTGCTTAGAGCAGCATTAGAAGACACAGTTCTTGAAAGAAAAAAAGCCCCATGGCCTGCCTGTTCTCTGGCTCTCCACACTGTTAATACCAGTGCACCACAACTGGTATCAGTGAAGAAGGGAGATTTTTAGAAGTATCCCATGATATAGATGCGGATATAGTTGGACAGGCCAGACCACTTGCAGTAAACAAAGCAAATAGACATTTAGCTGCAAAAAAAAAAAAAAAAAAAGCAGCTTAAGTTTGTACTTGCTTTTGTTTTTCCACATGCTGGATTGCAGTAAGCATCACACTGCAGTAGAAAACACTCCTTCTGGGGTGGACAGAGAGATGGGACAGCGCACGTGGCCAAAGTTAGACACACTGCAATCCGATATTGCTTATCGAGTGGTGCTATTGCTTACAATGCTGGGATGCGGTCCACATTTGGACAATGCAAAGTCAAGCACCCGCTGAAGAAGAAACAGGGTCAGATCAGTCTCTGGGGTCAGTGATATTTAGCCTGAAGGGAGAAAAGAGATTGGTAAAGGTGCACACAGGTAAGGGTGCTGTGTACTGGTAAGGGTGCACACAGATACAACCAGTAAATAATTCTATCCCATGGCAACCGGCCTTGATGTGCAGTGTGACTAAGTAATGGAAAACACTGAAGAAATACCAGAGCCCTAAGGCTTGGTGCTTCGTTCCCTGCTTACTCAGGCAAGATTCCTATGGACTCAAATAGGAGGTTTTGCTTGAAGAAAAAATCCTGCAGCATCAAGCCCTTAAAGAAAGGCCAGGACAGGAAGTTAAGGCCACAAAATATCAAGCTCTAAACACTCAGGGCCTGATCCAAAGCCCACTGAGATCAAGGGAAAGATTCCTATTGATTTCAGTGGGTTTTGGCTCAGGTCCTTATTGGGCAGGAAATAGAGTATAAAGAAACATAGGGAATGTCTACACTTGCAGCCTAATTCGAAATAGGGCTGCAAATGTAGGCGTCCAAAATTGCAAATCAAGCCTGAGATTTAAATATCCTGGCTTGATTTGCATCTTCCCGGTCAGGCACCATTTTATTTATTTATTGAAATTGACAAGACCGGAATAACTGCCCGCGTCTACATGCAGCAGTGAAATGGCCATTTGAAATAAAGTCCTATTTTGAACTGTCTGATATTCCTCCTGTAATGAGGTTTAACAAGTAGTTCGAAATAGGGCTTTATTTCGAACGCCTGTTTCCCTGCTGCGTGTAGACGCGGGCAGTTATTCCGGGCTTGTCAATTAAAAAAAAAAAAAGGCCAGGAAGATGCAAAGCAAGCATGGGATATTTAAATCCTGGGCTTTATTTGCAATTTCGGATGCCTACATTTGAAGCCCTATTTTGAATTAGGCTGCAAGTGTAGACATACCATAGAGAAATATACTCCAGTGGTCAAAAGTGAGTTGTGTAACTCACCACTAATGAAGATTCAGAGGAAAATAAATAAAAACAAAGCCATACAAATTAGTGGGGGTACTGAAAACTAGCATATTTGTGCAAGGTTGCATCTGGAAGCACAAGGAATGAATGGTCAAGAAGATTATTTCATTATCTGTCACTATCACTAAGACATGTTAACTTTGATGCAACCCAAAGCAGCAGACGCCTGTGGGCAGTGGAGAAAAGCAAGGTATCAGAAATGCATTTTGTGGCATTATCCCAGCATTGCTTTTGGTGTAGCCACAGGACGCAGGGGATATTGCTGTTAGCCCATTATGGCTTGCAGGCTCTGTGTCTGCTGGTGCCCATTAGTAAAGGCAAGAAAGTGAAAGGTGTCACGTTTATTTAGCTCAACCGAGTCCACCTTTCAAATGATTGGCTATGTCTACTCTGGCGTGATCTTGCGCCAGAGATATGTAAATAAGGCTAAGCGTGGAATATCACCAAGTCGCCATTTTTGCAGAAGAGGCTCTTGCGCCAGAAGGAGCTGTCTACACTGCCCATTCTTGCGCAAGAAAAACCCTCTTGCGCAATGCCGCTACGCTGATTATTTTCAGAATAGCTCCTTTTGGCGCATGAGCCTCTTCTGCAAAATGGCGGTTCATCAGATATGCAAATGAGGCCTCATTTGCATATCTCTGGCACAAGATCGCGCCAGTGTAGACTTAACCAATGGGTTTTACTCAGCTGGAGAGTACATCTTCTCTGTTCCTTTAAGTCTGGGTTCATCGCCAGGATCTTAAATGCAGACGCTGCTCATAGTAGAGCGCATCTCACCTGCCTGATGTGAACTGTATCTACTAAATAGATTATTGGTGATGAAGACGCTGTGTCCTGTGACATTCCCACTTGTCTGGTAATGAAAACCTCCTGCGAAGTACATGCCAGCATCTTCATGGAAGCCACCTAAGAGGACATGCTGGGGGCGCGCTGGCTTAGATCCCAAGCAACAGTGGAAATGATTCCACTGAGCAGCACAGCATCCATATAAACTTAGAGAGCTTAGGCTTCCACATGTATCAATGGAAGGAAATCAACGTCGTTGAAAAAGCTAAAAGCCTCTTTAACGTTTCTTCTGTAGCAGGAAAAATGAACTATATGCAAGTGTGTTTTCTTCAGCATAGATGTCAGCCCATAATAGTTTAGCCACAGATCTGTACACAGGGGAGTTGATGGGGGTGAACGCACACCCCTCATGGTCCCCCAAGTAAGCATGAGTGGTTTGTTAGGGCAGTGGGTCTGTGGCTTGAGCTCAGCCCCTTTTGTTCCCCCAGCAGTAGGGAGCCCGTGCTGTTGGTTCTAGCCTCCCCTTTTCTCTCCTCCCCCACGAGGCTGGAGAGCCAATGCTGGCTTCCCGCTGCAGTGGAGGTAGAGAGAAAGTCCCAAGCCTTGCTGCATGATACAGCTCATGGGGCAGAAGCGCTCCCCCTCCCCCAGCTGGGTCAATGGGAGCAGCAGAAGATGGTGCCTGGGACCAGCGTGGGGCACAAAGGCAAGTAAGTGCCTCCTCATCCCCTCATGCCCAGACCTCGTGCCCCCCCAGCCCGCTCCTGCACCCTCCTTCCTGGCCACACACTACACCTTCCCTTGCTCTTGCCCCATCCCCCGGGACAGCTACGCTGCTCACAGTCTGCTCCTTTACCACCACCTCCCTTCCAGATCCTGCATCGCCATTCCTCTTAATCAGAGGCGGCCCATGAGCGTAGACAAACTCGGTGGTCCCCTAGGGCACCGTCTTCAACGGGGCACCCAGGGCGCCCGATGATGACGTCACGGCCATTGACGGTCGTGCAGGTGAAGGCGCCGCTTGCACATTCTGCCTGGGGGGCAGCTGCTGCAGCCGGCCACGGGCCGCTCCTGCTCTTGATGGCAACCCTGTCCCGCACACTAAACCCCCATTTTTGTCCCAACCCCAGAGACTTTGGGGGGTCCACAAAATCCACTAACCCCGGAACTCCAGAAGAGTAAATCTGGCCTATGAGATGCCCTGATTCTCAGTCTTTCCTGTCCCTTCCTCCCTGTGGCGGCTGGAGTGCCAGAGGAGTGACATGTCTTTGTTAGGAGCCTCATCAGTGAGAGCTGGCGGGTTTTGGACAGCTTTGGGTTTTGTTTTCTTTCTGTTTTTTTGCTTCTCACTTTTGTGGTCCCCAACTGATTTTTCTGTGGGTCAGTGGTCCCTGATCCAAAAAAGATTCTCACCCCAGCCATAAATAAAGAAAACATGGGAACCTTTGGTGTTGGACATAAATTAATATTTCACTTTATTTAAAATGAAGTTTGATAAACTAACATGAGAAAGTTAAAGTGTTTAGTCTGTGTAATAACAAATTAATATTTTCTTTCTTATGGGTTAAATTTAACCATTGTTCCAACCTGCAGCATTGCAAAATGGCTTGGCATAATTATCGGCAAGTTTCCATTAGCAACTGGTGGCCCTCAGAAAGGTTTGCATTGAGCCAGGTGGGCCACGGACCAAAAAGTTTGAGAACCATAGCAGGGCCAGTTGCTGATGAAGTGTTAATTCAGGGTTTTAAAGTCTGTTGACTAATTTCAGTGCTGGACGGAAAGTAGTTTGGTCTCTGCACAAAGACAATCCACAACAAACCTAGTTCTGCTGAACTATCTGCAGATGTGGCTGCTAAACAAATGCCACTTTTCTGTCAGTACAGCGAGGGGACTGTTGTCCTGAGTGGTTTTCTTTACATTTAAGAGGAAAAAACTTTCCAGAGGGATAACTCAAGCAACTGAACACCAGAGAGCTTGCAAACAATTTGTTGGAACAAGTGCCAGCTGCTAAAGCAAAACATGGGGCTAATGCCAGCTGGTCTAGCTTGTGCCAACAGCAGTTCATTGCCAGTGTATTCCAAGTGAGTTTACATCACAATAAAAGATACAATCCAACGGAAATTGGTTGTGGTATAAAATTGCCTCAAACAATCTTCCCAATATTAATTTAAAGGTATGTGCACAAGGCTGACAATCCTGCCAGCTTCTTGTGCAGTGCTCAGCACACTTTGGGCACCTGGACCAGAAATTTGAGAAGGGCTTGACACCCTGAGGCATGGCCAGATTTGCTAATGAGCTCACCTCCCACTTAGGTGCCAAACTAACTGGCCAGATTTTCAACAGCTTGCCATATTGGATGCAAATTGGGTGGAGTTTTTTGTTTGTTTGTATTATGCAAAATCTGGCC